AAAAAATTATATAGCTGCCCAACTCTCTCCTAGATGATTCTGGAGATTTCATCTTTATGTTGCAATCACCAACTGTTTGAACATCCCTAGGAAGTCACAAGTGTGAAGGAACAATTGCCCTTGTTTACTTCTAGGGTTACCTTGTGGGGAAATACCTTGTGTGACCCACCTCCAAAGGCAGTGGACTTTTGATTCCACCTTTTGACATCTGTTTTGTTTTGACACTGGCTGACCAACCATACTCAATGTGTAGTCCTTAATGGAGCTGCATTTATGTGGAGCAAAGTCAGCAGTGAGGTCCCTCAAGGCTCAGCCTTAGGCCCAATACTCTTCAACATCTTCATCAGTGACCTAGACAAGATAGAAGGAAAATTCATCAAATTTGCAGGCAACACCAACCTGGAGGGAATAGCCAATACTCCAGAAGATAGACTAAAAATACAGAAGGTTTTTGACAGATTTGAACACTGGATCCTATCTAACAAAATGAAATTCAATGTAGAAAAAAGTAAGGTTTTACATTTAGGCAAGAAAAACCAAATGCTGAAGTATAGACTAGGTCCATGAAGGCAAATCTATGGCACATGTGCCAGAGGTGGCACGCAATCCATCGCCCCAATTCAGCTCTGCCGTGCTTTTGCTCATGCCTCCCACCGGCCAGCTGGCCTTCGGGTCTCTGCCACACATGCGTGGGGGCGCACACATATGGGGGGGGTGCATGCACGCATGGGGTGGGGCACATAGAGGGGCATGTGGGGGGCACATACATGCACTGGGTGCTTGCAGGGGGCTTCATGTGCATACACGGAGGGACATGTGGGGGGTGCATTGAATTTGGGGGGGCGCATACACACATATTTGCGCACGCTTTGGGCACTTGGTCCAGAAAAGGTTAGCCATCACTGGTGATACCTGGCTCAACAGTAGTAACAGTGAGAAGGATCTTGGAGTGCTAGTAGATGATCATGTAAATATCAGCCAGCAGTGTCCTGCACCTGCCAAAATATCAAATGCAATGTTAGATTGCATTAATAGAGGGACAGAATCAAGACCACATGAAATGTTAATACCACTTTATAATGCCTTGGTAAGGCCACACTTGAAATACTGCAATCAATTTTGCTTGCCACAATGTAAAAAAGATGTGGAGACTCTATAAAGAATGCAGAGAACAGCAACAAAGATGATTAGAGGACTGGAGCTAAAACATATAAAGACTGGTTGCAGGAACCGGGTATGTCTAGTTTAATGAAAAGAAGGACTAGGGGAGACATGATAGCAGTGTTTCAATATCTCAGGGGCTTCCACACAGAAGAGGGAGTCAAGCTATTCTCTAAAGCACCTGAAGGCAGGACAAGAAGCAATGGATAATGAGAAATTCCCTGACAATTAGAACAATTAATTAGTGGAACAACTTCCCTCCAGAGATTGTGTATGCTCCAACACTGGATGTTTTCAAGAAGAAATTGAACAACCATTTGTCAGAAATGATAGAGGGCTTCCTAATTGAGCAGGGGGTTGGACTAGAAGACCTTCAGGTGCCTTCCAAATCTGTTATACAGTACTATTATTATCACAGAACAATCTAACATTCAAAATGTAGAAGCTGTTGGAGCAGAAGGACCAACATCTCAAAGAAAT